ACATTTTTGGGGGCCCGTCCGGGAAACAAACAAAAAAACAAAAAAAAAATTGGAAAAAAAGGACACATGTGGGCACATAATGGTTGTAACAGGAATTGAATTGGATAATGCTAGCGTTTCAAGTAACCATTCTCTGTATATGTAGTTTCTTACAGATCTTGGACTGCCAATCTACACCGCCTCGATTTCCCTCCAACCAATTACCGGTAGAAAGGCTCGCACGCTGCATAGGCGTTGTCCCTCACGTTTTCGCGATGGAGATTGAGCGTTTAGTAAGTATTGGTAAGGAGATGGGATTAGGTGGAGAAGGTTTGAGAGAATTTGTGAGAGAGGAACAAGAGCGAATGAAAGTAGAACGAAAGGCAAAGGAAGATGCTGAGAGAGAAAAAAGGGCCATGGATATCGAAATAAGGCGACAAGAAAGAGAAACGGTGGAACTACAGCTCAAAATTGAGACGCTAAAAAAAGAGGAATCTGAGAGTCAGGAACATAAGCCAAAAGCTAGTAGTGCCAAAACACTTACTCCCAAACTTCCCTCCTTTGATGATGAAAAGGATGACATTGACTCTTACCTCAACAGGTTTGAAAGATATGCCAGCGCCCAAAATTGGCAGCAGAGTAACTGGGCTGTTAACCTAAGTGCACTTTTAAAGGGCAAGGCTCTCGAAGTTTATTCCAGGTTACCAGTCAGCGAGGCTTCCAATTATGATTCCCTCAAGAGTGCTCTACTGAAGAGGTATCACTTCACTGAGGAAGGATTCCGCAGTAAGTTCAGAAGTGCAAAGGCAGACAAATTCGAAAGTCCCAAGCAGTTTGCAGTGAGGTTAGATAATTATTTTTGTAGGTGGGTAGACCTGGCCAAGATTCACAAGGACTTCAATGGAGTTAAAGACCTTTTGCTTAGAGAGCAATTTATTAATGCATGTAGTATTGATTTATCTCTTTTCTTGAAGGAGAGAAATCCAAAGGACATCACCATCATGGCAGAACTAGCAGAGAAATACGTCGAAGCTAGAGGAGGTATATTTAGCCAAGACTCCAAGCTAACACAATCCTCTTTTTTCAGATCAGACAGACCAAGAGATCATGGTCAACGATCTGATGGACCCAGTAGAACCACTGGTCAACACAAACATTTCGAAAGAAAGCCGTCGTCTTCGAGCTACCAGAAACCAGCTTCCTGGAGTCCCACTAACCAAAGACGACACATGACTTGTTTTGTGTGTGGCAAATCAGGGCATATAGCGAAAAACTGTTGGAGTAATCCCAACAGGAACCCAACTAAGGTGGCAGGACTCATCACACAAGATCACGAACCAGCGCAAAGACCACCACAGACTGCCGACAACCAGCACAGTCTTCAATCACGGTCTACTTCATCTATCTCTTCTCATTTTCAGGGTGAGTGTGAAAAATGCCATCAAAAAATTCCATCACAGGTTGAACAGGTTCACATAGCATGCATGAATGTTGCAAATTGTTGTTCAAAAGGTGGCTATGTTAACTTACCTTGTGGGCATAACTTACCTATCATGAGCGCAGCTTGTAAAGCCGAGTTTGTGAGAGGTATGCCAGTTACGAGTGGCAGAGTAGGAACCAGTGACAAGCTGATCTCTGTTTTGAGAGACACCGGTTGTTCGGGTGTTCTTGTTCGACGCAGTCTTGTGTCAGATAATCAGTTAACTGGCAGAAACAAACTCTGTGTCTTTGTTGATAACACAGTGCATCCATTACCTGTTGCTTCTATACAGATTGACTCACCTTACTTTGTTGGCTCTGTAGAAGCAGTTTGCATGACAGATCCAATTTATGATGTAATCATTGGTAACATCCCCGAAGCTCGTGACCCAAGTGACCCAGACCCTGACTGGAGGCATAACGACAACACCATCCCAAGTTGTCATCCGTCGACTGGGAAAGAAAAGCGAGCTGACACTTACTTCCATGTGCACGCCGTCCAGACACGAGCGCAGAAAGCCGCGGAGGAGAAACCACTTCCGGCTCTGAAGGTTTCAAGTCAGCTACCTGAAGTCACTGCTGATGAACTTCGTCAAGGGCAACAACATGACCCCACTTTGCAAAGGGTGAGAGATTTAGCCGATTCAGGTGAAACTAGGATCAGCAAGGGTGAAAATTCATCTCACTTTTTTGTCCAGAAAGGTCTTATCTATCGCCAATTTTGTAGTCCCAGGGTGGAAGGTGGAGACACCATTACTCAGTTAGTTGTTCCCAAGCCACAGCGAACACTGGTGATGAAACTAGCTCATGAATCCATTCTAGGAGGGCACCAAGGATCCAAGAAGACAGTAGACAAGGTACTTTCACATTTCTACTGGCCGGGGGTTCAATCAGATGTTCAACGCTATTGTCGATCATGCGACATATGTCAACGCACAGTTCCCAAGGGCAAGGTGACCAAGGTTCCATTAGGACACATGCCGTTGATAGATGAGCCATTCCAAAGGGTTGCTATTGACATTGTAGGCCCAATTTCTCCCATGACAGATAGAGGTAACCGGTATATTCTGACCATGGTCGACTATGCCACCCGCTATCCGGAGGCTGTACCACTGAAGAGCATAGAGACTCACCGAGTGGCCGAGGCTCTCGTCGAGATATTCACGCGTGTGGGTATCCCACGTGAAGTTCTAACCGACCAAGGGACCCAGTTTACATCAGGCATCATGAGAGAGGTGAGCAGACTACTCTCCATCAGGCAGTTAACAACTACGCCCTATCATCCAGCTTGCAACGGCCTGGTTGAACGATTCAATGGAAGTCTGAAGCAAATGTTGAGACGACTTTGTGCTGAGAAGCCCAAGGACTGGGATAGGTATGTAAGTCCCCTCCTTTTCGCCTACAGAGAAACACCTCAGGCTAGTCTCGGCTTTGCTCCATTTGAGTTGTTGTATGGTAGGAGTGTAAGAGGTCCCATGGCAATCTTGAAGGAGCTCTGGACAAACAACGTTGAGTCTCCAGAAGTCAAAACTACTTACCAGTATGTCGTTGATCTGAGGTCACGGATAGAGGACACTTGCCAACTTGCTCATGAAGAGTTGAAGAAGTCCAGCGAGAGATATCGCAAGTATTACGATCGCAAGGCCCGACCACGACAACTACAGGAAGGTGAGAAGGTTCTGCTTCTACTCCCAGATGACAACAACAAGCTTCTTCTTCAATGGAAGGGTCCATTCACTGTGGTTAAACGTATGGGCAGCTGCGACTACAAGATCGATCTAGGTCACAAAACCAAAACATTCCACATCAATCTCTTGAAAAGGTACATAGAACCATTCCCCACAAGCAGTTCAACTAATCAAATTTCTTGTTTTCTCAGTGACTACCTGCCAGAGGGTATGTTGGATATTGTAGCCACATCAGTCATCGAGATGGAACCAGATGGTGCATTCACCGAGGTTCAGGTGATAGATGACGACTCGCTGCGAATCCCCACTCTCACGGCAAAAGAATCCATCAGTGACGTGAAGATCAATGATGGTTTATCAGAAGAGCAAGCCCGTGAAGTAGGTGAGTTGTTGCAACAATATAGCTCCATGCTTACCGATCTTCCAGGGCGTTCAAATGTGGCGAAGCACGACATTAAGCTCACAACATCAGATTCAGTGCATTCAAAGCCCTACCCACTACCACATGCATTAAGAGGCACTGTCAAAGATGAGATTGAGTCCATGCTGAAGATG